CATAGAAAATTAATTGAGCTCATTTTCCATCATTCAGATCTTTAGATCCGTTTACAACCTTTTACTGCTCCGTTGACATTTTGTTCTGGTTCAGCTTCTTTCAGCTTCCTTGTGCAAATTTAAACCTACTTTCGGCTGTTTCAGATAATTTTCACTTTTTTGTGCTCATTGCTGCTCCTTTCAGCCTAATTAATTTATGTCTAATAATTTAAGCTTGTTATGCTTCTTTCAGTTTATTTCTGCTAGTTTCAGTTTTTTCAGCTCCTATTTAGCAGTTTTATACTATTTTTAGCCTTTTCAGCCAATTCCATTTTTTTTGCACTCATTTCAACATTTTTCAGCTTAATTCAACCAAAATGTGCTCTCTTCACTTTCTTCTTGTAATTTCAGCTTTTTTCTTCTTTTTAACAACTTTTCAATTTTCTTTTTTAATTTTTTGCGCATTTCAGCTCTTTTCAGATAATTCCCACTTTTTTGTGCTAATTTCTGCTTCTTTCAGGAAATGTATTCTTTCTGCTTAATTCTGCTAATTTAAGCTTGCTCTACCTTTTCAGCTACTTTTTTTGTTCGTTTGCATTTTTAGCTAATTTCAGCAGTTTTCAGATAAATTCAAGTTTGTCATAGGTTTCAGCCAAATAAACTTATTTCTGCTAATTTCAGCGTTACGCTCCTTTCAGCTTTGGTCTGCTATTTCAGCTACGTTTTTGCTGGTAGTTTAAGCTTTTTTCTGCCTTTTCAGCTACTGGTAATTTTTTTTGCTTCCCCCAATTTAAGCTTTTTTAGCTAATTTATGTGCCAATGTCTTCTTATTTAAACCTAATTCAGCAAATATGTGTTCTTTCTGCTTTCTTCTGGTAACTTAGGCTTGTTTTTCAATTTCAGGTTGCAGCATGTTGTAGCTAATTTCAGCCGTTTTTTCAGCAATTTCTTCAGCAATAAGCATTCACACTGCATTTTCACAGGAAATGCAATTTTTTCTAGTTACAATAAAAACAATGAAATAAACAACCGATGAGAAAAGCTAAAAGTAAACTTATACATACAGAAGATGAAATCTCCTCTGGGTATTGTCAGATTGTCTGTGAGGAGACTTACTGAGTTTTTGGTATTCAAAGAGGTTAGAAGCTCAGTTCATTCAGTTTGTTCGTTTGAATCTTACTTAATCTTGTCAACGAGTTGCTCCGTGTTTCCTCTGATGGCCGCTGTGACGTGATACACAGGACTCAGCAACAAGCTGTCCACACTGACCTGCACGGAAAACGACAAGAAAGTTATCCTCTAAAAGAGAGAGCATGTGAAATGATGCGAACAGCCTCAACAGACCTCATCACTGTTTGGAGGTAGATGCCTGGAGTTTTGCTCATGATCGTTGGATCTCTGGTCAGACTCGCTTTTCGTTGCAAAACTGGTTTGGCCTCTGTTCAGTCCAGACTGTGGAACCCGCTGGAACACAATCAGACTTTAGAAGGAAGCTTCAGGAGAAAGACAGGCAGCTGAAACTTACTGTTTAAGAATCAACTATCTTACTTGGTAATTTTGACACTTATTTCCTTTAAAACGATACGGCTGCATCAAATATTAATTGTAAAATAAAATAAAAAATGTTCTTATAAAGAATTATTCATTTTTCGGTGGGTTCATGCTTTAAAAACACCAGAATATACATAAAAACTACCTTTAAATTTATTCAAACAGTATTTACAATTTATTAGTGGTAGTAATTAACTCATCAAGTACAAGTACATAAAAGCATGACTATTACCCATAAAAATTAAAAAGAAATATTTTAAAAGTTAACAATTTTAACGAGTTGAAATAAATATGAAGACAGTTTGGATTCTCATCATGCAATAGCAGAGGTGCACAAAATTTTTCAACTATTTATAAAATGACCAAGTCAAAAATTATCTACCTACTATAAAAATACTAAACTTATACAGTACAGTAGTCCCTTACTACTTTGCGGTTTGACTTTGGAGGACTCGCTATATCGCAGTTTGTCAACGCACATTAAATTGTTTTATTTTTTATTATTGTACAGGACACGTGATAGTCACCTTTAATATTACTCACGTGACTGGGACAGTACGGGAAACTGTACAGTAAAAAGTTAACGAAAAAATAAAATATTTCGGACAGGCGCCGCCATTGTGTAGTTTTCTCTCAATAAGCCTACACTACATTCCCGCTCATAATGACTACATTTCCCAGAAGCCAACAGGGCCCTGCCAAGAAGCTCTATTTCCTTTTGCTGAAATACAGTGCACAAGAGAAAAACTTTTGATCTGAGCGGAAAAAGTTTGGCTCTTATTACAGTGACTTCGGCGCTCAGCGGGCACAGAGTGCAGTACGGAACCCACCGAACTGGATCAGAACTGGAGCAGAACCAGACCTCCAAACCCATCTGTGAATCTTGAGAGCTGGCAGCAGGTCCACGACGACTTCCAAACAGGGACGCGCTGCAGAAGGCCCGGAGCAGTTTCCAGAGCCCATCGGTACTTTTTTCATCCAGACTTGGGACTAAACTGACCACCTCCAGTCCCGTGCCGGTCAACCGAAGGTCTGCCCCCCCACACATACAAAACACGCTTCGATGCTCAAGGATTGCACTGAACCAGACCATAACCGGACCCCCAGACTCAGAGGTGAACCTGAGAGATCCTAACAAACCCACGGGGACTTTGAGCGGGGACGGCGCTCCAGCCGGAGCCCACCAGGACTTTAGTAGCTACATATACAGTACTGTGCGCATGTTGTTAAAATGACGTAGGTTTAAGAGTTTAGAACATTGCAAGTGTGGGAAGGGTTTATAAAGCCTTAAAATATATATAAATACTAAAATAAATATAACGTTGCTACTTCGCAGATCTTCACTTATTGTACGGGGGAGGGGGGGCGGTCTGGAACATAACACCCTCAATAAACAAGGGACTACTGTGTATGTGGGAAAATCTGCACAAGAATAAAACTTAACTGCCTTCAGCAGGATGTGAACACCGTCTTTAATTTGCATGTGTGATTTACCTGCTGAGGAGCGAGCGCTGCACTGGGCTCCTCTCCAGCTGTTTGTGGATCACCGTCTCCTGCAACGTCATGGATTTCTCTGGCTAGAATAGCCAGGTCTTTGGCCAGGTCTTGACTCAACCTAATGGTTATGAAAATACAGAAACAAGCAGACATTATTCCAAGAAATTTAGAAAAGAAACAAGAAAAAGTTCATTGCCTCCGGGAAGTTAAGCCGATGTTACGTCAGTAGAACAGATAAGAGTCTTGTCTCAGAGTGTTATCAGTTACAGCTGCCAAAACAGAGACCCTGAAATATGCAACACAACTATACTGTACATAAGCCACGGGTCTACACATTTAAGAGGAGAATACGCCGATTTCAATAAATGCAGCATTATGCTAAAGTTTTACTTTTTAAACCCTGCATGTCCCAGTTTAATCTTCTTGCATCTGATCACACAGGAAAGACGGGAGTAATAATAATGATCCTTTGGTTTCTGATGCTTTGAAACAAGACAGGCCCCAAAAAAATTATTACTTTGATTAAATAAAGCAACATGCCAACACTTATTGCTGCAAGCACAATACACTTAAATATGAAGGAGTTCAGCATGTGGCTGATGTTGTACCTGACATTATTTAATCTGAATTAAAACAATGCTAATAGTTAATTGTGTTTCTGACATCATACTTTCTGGTAATGACGATCTAAATAAAATACAATTAACGTCTGTGAAACTTTTGAATAGTTCCACAAAATAAAAAATAAATAAATAAAAACTCAGCATTTCTTACCGAGCAATCTCAGCACTGTGTGCAGACCAGCTGTGGAAAGCCTCTCCCTCGTGGTTCTCCTCTTCAGAATCTCGACTGCTCGATTTGGGATGACGGGCGACCACTGGCTGGGGTCGAGGCTGACTGCGTGGACTGTGAGAAGCTGAGGAAGGTTGGGAGCGTTTGTTTTTAAGACTGGTCCAATTTGAGTCGTACTCCTCATCTGAGGTAGAGGTATAGTCAGAGCCTTTCTGTCGCCTCCTAGAGCCTTGCCGTTGTGAATCGGTCATGAGTGACGGAAAAACGAGGACAGAACGTTTGGAAAAACAAGAGAAAAGAAGGTGCAATGAAAGAATACCTCCAGGAAAAAAACACCACCTAGTACTTTTAGAGATGAATCACCAAAACTTTACCCAGAACAAGAAACAGAGACAATCCTGTGGAAGTGCTCATCTCCACACCTCAAACCTTTTCACCGTCACGTTAAACATAATCCACAATTTAATATGTGCAAGATATTAAGCGTTGGTGGAAACACTGACTGTCCCAAGAAACATGTTAAGTCTGGGTCAGAACTAGAGATGCACCGATCCAATATCAGTATCGGAACAAATTCTTGATCGAGTATCGGTAGAGATGCACCGATCTGATATTAATATCGATATTGATAAGATTTAAAAAAAATTCTTGATTGGGTATCAGTGACAATGTGACCAATACATGACAGGAACTGATGGCTGTTTATTTTAAATATGTGCCAACCAAGCTAGTGCTTTTGTTTTTTCCTCTTATTTCAGCTCCTTTATTGTTTATTTTACATTATATTTATAATTCCTGAACCAATTGAAAAGGTCTGTTCAAGTTTATTTTTTCATGTTTGACCCAAGTTGTCAACCTATTGTTTTTGTCAGTTTCAGTATTATTATACATTTTACATTGGATGTTATACTCATAATTAGGAGTGCACTGATAAATGCCGATGTATCGGCCCCGGTTTCCTTAATTTTGGGAAATCAGACGATACTTGCACGAGAAACAGATTTTATTGATTTTTTTAGTTTTAACAATTGTCTGAACTTCGTTTATATTTCAGAGCACTACCTCATGGCCAGTTAAAACAAGTTTGTATTGCTTCTAGGATATTGTTCATGTGTATTTTTTTCAATGAAATAAAATAAGATTGGAAATTGTGACCTTATAACACCTGACTGTGTCGCTTATAAAACAAAATCGGTATCGGCCAAAATCGGAATTGTCAGGTCAGACTTTTTAGAAAATCTGTGATCAGCCAGAAAACTGCAATCGGTGCACCCCTACTCATCATTACACTGACTGAACAAATTAAAGTTGTGTTGTTTTTACATGTTTGACCAAGCTAGTGAAGCTATTGATGTGTGCTGTACTGGTGCAGAGTTTTCATTAAATTTGTAATTCAGTACATTTATGTCTGTGTTTTAAAAAAAACAACAACAAATGTTTTAAGTCAATTCAGCACTGTTTTTCTGTATCATATCGGTATTGAATCGGTATTGACCGATACTAAACCTCAGATATCTGTGTCTGAAGTGAAAAAAGTGGATGGTGCATCCCTAGTCAGAGCCAAAATTGTCATCTTTAAGATACCCTCAAAGAAAAAAAAGATATCTATAAAAAAAATTAATAAATCAGTATTTACAGTAAGAGTACCCTGTGTAAATAAGGGAAACAAACATTTTTGTGAAGATATTGTTAGTGACTCAGATGTTAGTGAAATCCTTGAACCAGCTCCCACCAAGAACAAATTTTTGGATGGTTAAAAGCAATACATAAAACTGTAGAAGACCAAAACCATGGCACCACTCGCGTAAACTGTGACCTCAAACCTTCTCACCACTCTGACGAACTTTGTCCTGCTTCTAATCTAGTCCTAAATTAATCTATTTTTCTACAATGTTGGTTTAATTCAATTTATAAAATGCATTTGTTCACATTATACTCACTTGCTGTGCTGCTTGCGTATTTGGCGCTGTTTGAGCGTGAACGAGTAACGGGCGTTTTGCTGAGCGCTGCTTTCTGTGGCCTTTCCACAGGCTTTACTCCTGCAGAGGCTCTTGGATTGGAGCTGCCGCTCAAATCTGTGCTGCGGCTGGGACATCCTGCGCTCCTGCTTGTCCACTGTGAGGTGGAAGCAGCCTCTGTATCACTGGGTGTATTGAACGAGCCTGCTCGCCTACGAGGCATGGCCAGCATGTCCAGTCTGGAGAGCTTCTTGGCTTCTTGGGGCTGCTTTGCAGGAGCACTGTTTGCTTCTTGGGACAACTTGTCAGACTCGGTCCCCTCGTTGTCTGAGGCCTCTCCCAGACGCGCTCGGCGGAGCATTGAAGCCCTGGTGGGTCTTGGGGCTGACAAGCTGCTGGTACGACTCAAGACCTGAGACGCTTTGGACGCCTTGCCGTCCTCTTTCTGAAGAGGCACGGTATACTTTCTTTGCATTTGGTTGTTGCTGCTCTCTTGATCTGAATAAGGGAAGCTGTGAGGATCATCGCTCAGGTCGGTAGATCCAGACCTACCAATGCTTCGTCTCAGTCCAACTGGTTTTCTGACCACCTCAGTCTTGTTGCGGCTGTTTACTCCATAAGAACGAAGCTTTTCAGTCTGATTTGAGTCTTGACTAGTTATGCTAGTAGAAAACTTTTCACTGTGAAGGCCAACAGCAGCTGGTTGTGCCACCAGTGAATTTGGCTTGACCTTATTGCTATGCTGGCTGACTGTGCTGGAGGTATCCACATCAGAGTCCCCAGAAAGCGAGTCCAATATGGGCGATGGAGTGGTCTCCGACTGTCCCGCTTGGAGTTTGGCCTCCAAAACAGCCAGAACATCCTCTGTCTGTTTGAGGTAAGAACGAGTGTCGTGACTGCTGCCCCCCAGGAATAACGCAGGTTCTGGATCTCTTTCAACAGGGAGACTGGAGATGTTTGGCAGTCTGGCATTGCTAGGCTTGTCCTTGGTGAAGCTCTCCTGTCTGATTAATGACGATGTCGCAGCTTCTTTGCTCTCTGGACTCTGTGTCCTGTGACCCAGTACGGGCGGTGAAGCAGCAGTTCGGATTGTCTCAGAGTCCGGAAAACATTTTTGTTTGGCCAGAGTAGCAGTTGAAAAAGTTTTGTTAGAGAGTTTTCTCTCAGGATTGGGAGAGCTCACTTTTAAGCCGCCACTGTGTAGCTTGGACTCCTCTGACCTGATGTAGAAAGCTGTAGACTTGACAGCGAGTCTGAGCTTCTCTTCTGCATCAGTTAGCTGCTTCCTGCTGTGCTCCATGTTTGATCCATCATCTGATTTACTGGCATCACTCAGGCTGTCAGGCTCTACATCATCCTGCACCGTTAACCTATGCACGTCATCCTGAGATCTGGGGGCTACTGAGCTACTGTTCTCCATGTCAAACGTTGAATTGAGGTTACAATGAACATGAATACTGGGAGTTGGAAGGTCACTCCTCTCTTCCTGGGGGAGGATGCGCCGAGCCCTTGAATCATCAACATCTGAGCTGTTTTGGTGCTGGCTGCGTGCCGTCTTATGGATGATGGTACCTCGTGCTGAAGTGAACAGTTTTAATGCATATTAACCACACATACTGAGCATCATTCATATTCATCAGGGTGTCTCATTATCATTTCAAATAGACCAATAGCTCGTCAGGTGGCTTACCCCCTCCTGCCAGTTCCATCTGCGAAGGCATGTCAAAGAGGCCAGGCGAAGACCCAGATTCTGTGTAACTGTCTGCCAAGCTGGCCCAGCAAGACATCCACTTAGGAGCCCCCTGAACCCCAGCAGCTGCTGGCTGAACCTGTGTGAGAAAATACACAACTATTCATCATCTGTGGAAAAAAATAAATCATAGGCGGAAACAAACCCACAGTTAGGATAACAGATGACAGAAGAGCACACCATATGTATGTAGTATGACTGCAAAACCAATTTAGTTCTTAAAATTTGGTTAATTAGAAAACACAAACAATAAAACACCCAGAGACTGTGAGGCAAATAACAAAAAAAACCACCAAAACAACAAATGTGAGCAAACATCAAGAAGCCAAATCAACACAGAAATGCATGCTGACTTTAAAAATATCCATTAAACGCTGTTAGAACTAGTGTTAAAATTATGTTTCCATTCAATCTCACCCTGAGCAGAAGAGGTTACCTTTACCTGACTATGTCCCTGCCCTGGAGCTGGCATCTCCTCCCCACTGCTACTCTGACTATACTCCTCCCTGTCCTGATCAATAATAGACCTAAATGCAGATGATGTTTCTGCATCACTTGGTTTCATTGGTTCTGGACTATCAACACCAAACACCTGTCAAGAACAAAGCATTGTGAGTATTTACATGTGTAAATAAAGACGACAAGACTTTCTGGACAATGGTGGAAGCTGGTGAATAGCGAAGCTGTTAGCTGTAGCTTTTACACAACATGCTGTGATTTACTCATAAGCAGCTTCTCTATTAACTGAACATAATTTAGATGGAGGCTCTTGCCTGATCAATCTTGCTTCGTGCCTCTTCCACCTCTTTATCTTGAATGTCTGCTTCGATTGTGTAGGTTCCTGCATCACTCAGATTGTCCTCCTCTTCATTCCTGGGGCTTCTGACTTCCACATTCGGAGTAGGCATGGTGGTGGGATTCAGAGGAACAGGCTGGCTGACTGGAGAGGAAGTCTGATGCCGGTGATGGCCGTCAGTTGGAGGAGGGCTTGTGGAAGTCCGATCAGACTGGAAAACTGCATCTGCCCTCCTTTGAGCTGCTTTAGAGGAGCTGGAAGCAAATTTCTCCCAGCTGGAAGAGGACTTCTCCTGTTTGAGACGTTCAGCTGTAAATTCTTTTGCAAGTTTGGATTTCCGTCCGACGCTGCTAAAAGGTCTTACAGATGCAGATGAAGAATGGGAAGAAAGGCTGGTGCTGATTCGGTCTTCTGTCTTTTCCCTTCGAAGAGAACCAGCTCTTTGAAACCCTGACGAACTAGAGGAGTCCTTTAGAGGAATAGTGTATCGTTGGGTAGAGGGAGTGGTGGAGGAAGATGCAGGTGGGACATGTCTTTCTACAGCTGGACTTGACGCGTTTGCTTTCTCCTGCTGGTGCTGAAGCCCTGCAGGTTCAGGTGAGGCTGTGGGATTTGTGAAGGACTGGGAGTGCCTCTTTCTTGAATTATCAAACATTTCAATGACAAAGGTTTGTTGAAGCTCAGACTTGCTGTGACTGGAAAGGGACCGTGATTCAGTTGGAGAGCAAGACAAAGGTTCTTCCAAGTTTGGGGAAGTAGTTCTCAAAGTTACTGAAGAAACCTGCACGACATCCTGAGGTTCTGATTGGAGGAAGTCATTTCCGTTCACCGCAGGTTGTCCTGAATCACTGTGAGAACTGTTCTCACAGCAGTTTGCTGATGATAGAAACATAAAAAACTGTAACCATTTAAACTTAAAAGTTATTGCTTAAAACATAAAAATAATTTAAGACTTACCATTTGCTATTTTCAGATCTGCTGAAAGGCTGTTTGTGTTATGCAAGTTTTCACCCTGTGATTTCCTCCTCATCATCATACTTGCATTGCTTTGGACCAGCCAATCAGCTACTTTGCTTTCCGATGACATCACCTCTGTAGGTGTGGTAGCAACCTCTGTGGCAGGCTGCTTGCGTGACTGGCGGAACGCAAACTTGGTCACATGGTCTTTGATCTTCATTTTACCTGGGGTGCATTCATCAAATTCAATGGTGAAGGAGGCGTGGCTTTGGACCACGGATGACGTGGGGGTCGAGGGGATGCTATGAGTGGTATCCTTTGTTGGAACCTCATGAACCTGGGACTCCTCTTTCTTGGTAGGCCCCTGCTGGAGCTCCTTTGTTGGGATTTCAAAGTAGCTGGGCTCTCTTCTGTAGGAGAACACAGACTTGGCCTGACTGTCTGACTGAGAACGGTTGACCTCAAACTTAGATGCATCTTCAGCAGACTCTGAAAACAGAGCAGTCGAAAAAGAAATGCAGCTTCTGTTATTGTCCTACATAATAAGACCACATCGCTAACAGTATCATGCTGCTAACTGGACCATGTTGCTAAGATAACCTCACAGTCATCAGAACCGCTCTGCCAATAGGACCATGCTGATGTAGATTTTTTTTATTTTTCCACTTTTGGCGCCTTGTTTCTGTATTTTTGCTGCACACTTTGAATAAATCCTAGTTTATGTTAGTTTAGTTTATGTTAGGGCTCGCATTAAGCGTGTAAATTATAGCCAAATCAAACTATGAGAATCGTGCTGCTGTGGTTCGGTGTATTGTTTTGCACCATTAGTGTTTAGCATATATCTTAGATCTTTTAGCGTTCATTTAGCACTCATCTTAGTTAATATCTTAGATCCTTATTTTCCGTTTCTTTTTACACTTTATATTTTTGCTATTGTTGGATGTAACTGGGACCCTGTGTACACAATTTCGTTCCACCCCATGTACCACATGCGATGCGAATGACAATAAAGACCCTTGAATCCTTGAATAATCCACTCACTGCACGAATATGGAAAATATGCCTTAGTTAGAGTCAGGCAGTCAGATAAACATCATATCATAAATAACATGAAGGATCCAGATGTTGATTTGAGGAAAAAACAACCCGTTGATCTTCAGTTGCCACCAGTTGGATGTGGCCAAATATCACTTTAGAAGCTCTGAGTCCACAGCAGGGTAGCTAAGCGGTAATAATCTGTTTTAGTCTGGGCAACATGAAGGGAACAATGACCCTTCCTCCCCTGCTTCGGCAGCTTAAAGGGTCATAATCCATCACGAGGCAGACAGGCACTGCCCAGTGACCTGGCAAACACTTCACAACTGGCAGCCAGAGACCTGCCCACAGCTTAAAACCATCCATCTCCCAGTGACCACCAGATAGCAGGGTCATAAAAGCTTGTCATTACAAATTAGGATCCAACTCACAAACTTGAGAATACTCACACACTAGAGTAAAATGAGGGTTTTGTTTACAAGATACAAATAAAAACAAAATAATTGTAAATAAATTAGATGCGTTCTCTGACCTGGCGCCTCCTGTTCTGGCACTTTTCCACCTCTGTCCAGCTTTGTGTTGGTTTGATCCTCATCTTCCCCCCACCAGGATGGTTGGCCATACAAAGGAGTCGGCCTGGACATGGGAGAATCTGTGGAAACTAGCAGACAAACGCACAACAATTAACACACATTCAAGCAGAAGAAGGAAAGCAAAAAGTGTTTTATTAATACAATTATAAATATAAAAGTCAATATGGTTTTTATAAGAAAAACTATGTTTTCTGTTTTTATGCATCAACTAACGCATACAATACTGAAGCTAAGAGAATGTTTCACTTCCTGTAATCATTGTGACGCACAGAGAAGTTGTAGTCCAAACTATTGTACAAGTTGTTTCACACAAACCCCCAAAACATAATCCTCCTCATCTTAACCTTCAAAGAAAAGCAATGCAAGATGCAACATAAGCCATACAAATCAAGTCTTCTTGTAGACACAGACACAATTTGCTTACTCCTTTAACTACTGAGGCCCGAACAGTAAAGGCTTATTCTTGCTCTGGTGTTTAGTCAGACTTCTGCATGCTAGTACACACATGCTAGCAAGCCTATAATGGACTAATCAGATAATCCAGGAGCTACTTTTTCGTCTGATAGATGAGACAAACAAGCTCCTTAGAGTTTAACGTGGCTTCACAAACTCTAAGCATCAGCAACACTTTACCACAGTTGCCTTGGATGCACAAAATAAGACATAAACAGAGCGGCAGAAGAAGCATGTTAACAATTCCTTTCCACTTACTCAACCCTCTACTTTTAGCCAAAGAAAACAAATGGGCATAATAATATGTGCCCTGTGCCGAGTTGTGAATATAAAAAAAAACCAACAAATATTACAATGCATAAAAAATAAAGTCGAAACACCATATATTTTCTTTTTTGTGAGTGGATTATCAATAGAAGTGTCCAATTACTTAAATAAACATGAAGCATTGGGAAATGTTAATTGCACAGAGTAAATATGCTGCATCAGGGCAAACTGAGCAACTAATTTTATGAACTTTCTCCAAACACTGAAGAGCCCCCAGGCCCAGATGGGGTGAAGTAGGCCTGACTGACTCAATGTACAGCTGAAGTATGTACCCTGCAGACAGCTGGAGGACTGGATGCACTCCACATCCTGTACAACTGCGAGAGAAAAGAAGCGCAGGCACAAAAAGTGTCCCAGTAAGGGGAAAAAATGAAGCGATTTCATCATGAAAAATGTGATTTCTTGAAGTCAGAGATAAGTAAGGCTGGTTTCAGTGAAATGGTTTAAAGAAAAGTTTATTTTGTTGATAGGAACTGGTGGGGGGGGGGGGAGGGTGCTCAAGCACAACTAAATTTTAACTCAGCACCCCTGAAAATTAAAGTACCGGTACAACAAAAAATAGTAATAAGACCTTTTTTTTGTGTGTGTGTGTGTGGGGGGGGGGGGGGGGGTTGGGTTTGGGATTCGGTTTTTTGCATTTTTGATTCAATGTAACAAAATAAAACTAATTTAAAAAGGTAACATATCGTTGTAATACTTGGTTAATTTACATAATGACTAACTGCTGGATGTCTGACACTTGAGCTGCTGGCTTTCAGTAACTGTGGCCCCCTGACCAGTTCAGTTGAATAACCCTGATTTAGAGTAAATGGATGATAAATGGACTGTACTTACATAGCACCTTTCTATCTTATCAAGATACCAGGTACTCAAAGCACTTTACAACACAATCTATGTCCTCATTTACCCATTCATACAGCACTCTACTATATTTATACAAAGACTAATCAGTGCTTTATCACATTCATACACTGATGGGTCACACATCAGAGGCAATGAGGGGTTCAGTGTCTGCAGGGACACTTGGACATGCAACTGCTGGTGGAATTGAACCCCAAACTCTTGCATTGGAAGATGACAGCTCTAACCACTCAGCCACAGCCGCCCAGAGTGTGGAATACAGTTTATTCCATTTCCAAAACCTAAACCGAGTCTGGAAAAATGTAAAAGATGATAAAGCCCTGCGGCCGACCTCACGAGCAGCTGAATACAACGGTGATAAACAGGAAGTACCACATGTTCACCTGTATGAAGGCAACTACAAGAAAATCCTCCATTTTCTGTCATAATTACAGTGTATGATATAAATTGTTAAATTAAAGGTTAATGCTTAAAGCTAGTTGTACTTCGTTTTGTGTGTTATACATGTAGAATATGTTGCAACTTCTGGTTGCATAAGTTTAGTCTTTGCTTGTTATGGTAAGTTAACAATAAATTGATTTTGTACAAAGTGTTTAGTAGGTTGTGTAACATAAATCAGAGCGCTATGTCTGTCGCATCTTAGCTAGCACATCTGTATTACACACCACTAGCTTAGCGCTACTTCTTGTCGTGCTGTGCTCCCGAAAATAGTAACTGAATCAAGTGTGTACTTATGTAGGTAAACGTAGATGTTTAATAACCTGTTAAAATGCACCAGAATACAGGAAATGGCATCTACTTTATTCAAAATTTTCTGGGGGAGGATCCCCAGAACCCTCCCACCAGTATGCCCCCCCCCCCCCCCCCCCCCACACACACACACATTATGAATGGTTCCAACACCAATGGCTACGACATTGTTCAAGCCAAGAGCCATTGTCAGCACTGGGGGACAAGCACCCCTCAGATTCTAGAATCGCCCGTTGATAGGTGCACCATTCTTCAACAGCTAACACACGACACTTACAGTAGGTTGCTACAGTAACTCTAGCTTTATTTTCTCAGGTGTGCTGTGAAATACCGTCCTCATCTTGTTGTGCCACTACACCGAGCTAGACTGTGCTGTTGTGGGCCAGCGATAGCCAAACTAACCTTCACCGTGTGGGGCTGCTTTGACTGCAACTGCACAAAAGATCAGTAAACATGGCTTTGGTGAAACGGTTCAAAGAGTTCGCAGTGACTGGTTCGTCGTTCTAGGCTCACAAAATATGCTGCAGTTCAATGAAAGGCATGCAGAGGAACACAAGGCCACAGCTGGAAATTTCCTATTTTAAGCACGGCTTGTAATTTTTCCTCTGAACTCAAAGGGTCAATTATGGAGGAAAAAAAAAAAGCACCGAGCTGCTAAATCAACAACAGCTGCAATGGTCTGGTCAGTGTGAGTGAGTTTCATTCACAAAGTGCTTTAACTGAACTGACAGCTTGCTGACTGTCCCACTGTTGTCTGCAATGTAAACCATGACTACTTCAGTATATCTAGGAGCAAAAATCATGAGACAGACGAGTGGGAAACACGTCTACAAACGAGAGAGCGTCCACACTTGGCAGGACTGCACCTTTTGTCAGCAGTCAGGCGTGTCTGACAAAGATAAGACTGCTCGTCCTCAACTCCTCACCTTTTAGCCCTTACTCATGTATGCTCATCCTGCCGGCCCTAGATGTCAAGATCAATTTCTTTACTGACACCACAGGATTGTCACCTGAGCCCGTCTATTCGCATGCCATCCTAATCTCACACCAGGAAAGCTCTTAGTAAAAGAACACACAGTTGCTCTATCTGAGGATCTATGGCTAAAGTCGCGCAGCGCTCAGACTTCCTCTTATGTTTGTGTGAACAGGATATTCAAATCCACATTAGAAGCGTTGCTGTGTAGTGGTTTGTGGACAGGGTTATTCACCTGTGAGCGACTGGGCCCTTCGTTCAGCCCTGTCCTGCAGTTTCATATTAGAAATCACATCTTTGCTCCTCTCCAAGTTCTGGGGATGCTGTTTTTCCTTCGACTTGGCTTCCTGGGATTTTATACCGAGCTGCAACTGGCTGGTGTACTTCTCATGCTGTGAATGGAGAGGAGGGAAGCAGGATGTGAAAAAGCTCCCACCAACAATCAGCACTGATGTAACTGTTCTCATACAAATAAGGAAGGAGCTTCTTCAGATGTCCTTCACCTTTTAGTGAGGGACAGCTTAATGTTTGACTGTCCAGGACAAACACAAACATTTAAGGTATTTAATAGTGTTTTCAAGGGCGTAGCTGATGAGCTAGTCAACACACAACTACATTTCCTGCAAAAGCAGAAAAGTTGCACATTGTTTAGTCTATTAACCACAAAGCTAATTATCCAACAGCTTTTTTTATTTAAAAAAAAAACACTTTGAAGCTTTTTGTTGTTTGTTTCAGCCTCTGATTATTGCAGCCCTTAAGCTTCCTGAGTGTTAGACAAAAAAATATTAATTTGAAAATTAAAAAATTGATCTTGTAGTGGAAATGTATAACCTTCTGAAATCATGATGGTTAAATAGTATATGTATATATATATTAAAGAATATCGCTATAATGCTTTTAAATTGCAAAAGTAATGAGCTATAATGTGATCTAAAATGTTTTTCCAGACAACTAAAACAAAGAGACAGGATGTGAGAAGAACTTACTTTCAGAGCTTCCTCTGGGACTTTGTGTTGACTCTTCTCCAGGATATAAACATGTGCATGTGCACAAAGAGTTAAAGTACTCAAATCTAACATTGTGTAATGCAATTTATAATTTAGTTAAACATTCAAAGTTCAGAAACAACTAAAAATACAGCAAACCTATTGCCTAAATATTTATTGTGTGAATGTTTATGAAGCATTCACTGTGATCCATTTTTCTTCTGTACATTTTTCTGCATATTTCTTGTTCCACAACTTTTATGCCAATTCAGCAAATCATTTATCAAAACGTTCAGCTCATTCAGAAGGGTGCGATGACTTTTGGTATTGCTGCAACTTCAGCTTTTTGAAATATTTAGCCTTTTCTGACATCGTTTTTCTCATAAGAAATTAATTGAGCTCATTTTACATCCTTCAGATCCGTTTACAACCTTTTACTGCTCCTTTCATATTTTGTTCTGGTTTAGCTTCTTTCAGCTTCCTTGTGCAAATTTTAACTTTTTTCAGCTACTTTCAACTGTTCTGTGCTCCTTTTAGATTATTTCTGCTAACTACAAAATTTTTGTACATCTTCTTTTGTTAATTTCAGATTGTTATGCACCTGTAAGCTTATTTCTGCAAATTTCAGCTTTTTCTGTGATTTCAGCTACTATTTAGCAGTTTTTATGCTAATTTGAGCTTTTACAGCCAATTCCACATTTTTGCACTTGTTCAAACTTTTACAGTCCAATTCATCAAAAATGTGCTTTCTCCACTTCCTTCTGGTTCTTTAAGCTTCGTTCTGCAATTTTAGCCACTGTTCAGCTGTCCCCCCCCCCCCCAAATAATAACCACTTTTGTGTGTTCATTTCTGCTTCTTTCAGTCTAATTGGGCAAACGTGTTCTTTCGGCTTTCTTCAGCTAATTTAAGCTTGTTGACTGACATGTTCCTGTTGTTAGTTTTCTACATTTGTCTTGGAATCTAGCTGTTTTTTGTTTTGTTACCTTTTCCTTTTAGCCATCCTATTTGTTAAAAAAAAAAAAAAAAAAACTGTAGTATGCTTTTTTTATAACTGTTTATTGTTGTTGCTGTTGTCCATTGTTGTCATCTTTCTTTGTTGAAATCAGGTCTCTCTTGTATATGAGTCCTCGAGGCTCAATGGGATTTACCTGTATAAATAAAGGTTGATTGATTGTTCTACCTTTTTAGCTAGGCTTTTAACATTTTTAGCTAATTACAGCTGTTTTCAGAAAAAAAATGTTTTTCATGGTAACTTCAGCTACTTTCAGCCTAATTAACTTATATCTGCTAATTTCAGTTTGTTATGCTCCTTTGAGCTTTTTTCTATCAGTTTCAGCTTTTTCAGCTAATTCAATTTTTTTTAGCTCATTTCAGCTCTTTTTGCTCCCTTCTGGTAGATTAAGCTTCTTTCTGCCTTTTCAGCTACTTCTCACCAATTTCAGCCTTTTTTATTTTTTAGCTAATTTGCTCATTTTTGTACTCATTTCTGATTATTGAAGCCTAGTTCTTTTTGCTTTTTTCTGCTAAGTTAGGCTTGTTTTTCCATTTCAGCTACATTTCAGTAGGTTTTTAGCCAATTTCAGCTGTTTTTCAGCAAGTTCTTCTGCAACAAGCATTCACACTGCATTTTGTATGTTTTCACTGAATGCGAGTTTGTCTAGTTTCTCCTCTCAGATGGATTAAAGTCTCTTAAATCCTGGTCTAGTTCAAACAAATTAGTTTTTCCACCCAGCCCCTTAAAACAAGCAAGCTCGTATATTGTACACAGTTCAGTGGACATGTGTTTTTTTTTCATCCTGCTATCTAAACGGTGTTTCACCGTTCATGCGTTTTCTGCTCTGAGGGTCAAAGTGTGCTGGAGCAGCTTTTGTGTTTAACAGTTGGTCATAATCTAAAACTCCTGACTGGAAAGGCACAGGATTAAAAGTGCAGTGAAAGAACGAGGAGAGGAAAATATAACACGTACTGCGAATTCTCAACCAAAACTGCTACTGCTTTAGGAGCAGAAATTCTGTGTAACCGTATCATGTCAGATCAGTCATAAGCAAGAGCATAATAGGAGTTAGTTTTAAAAGAGAATAAAAAAAAAAAAAAAAGGATATCATAACCAAATCGAATAACGTCCGACAGCTTGAGGGTGATGTATGTCTGGTCCGGGATCCTGAGGTCATTCACAAATGTCTGTAAAACAAAAGATTATACTTTTTTTACCTTTAAATAAGAAAAACATGCCAACTCAGAATAAAATACCAATCACTTGTGGCACGCTCCCTAATACTGCAGCGGCTCCATAATTGGCCCTTTTCCCACTAAAAGTCCATCCACAAGCTGAAGTGATAATGCTGTTATGCAACAACAGCTGCAGAATTGAAATAAATAAATGGAAGTGCGCTTCTGTAGTTTTTCCCTTCGTCTCCAACAGTTTGTGGAAGTGGTTTTGACGTTTATGTTCAGCATCTTGTATGCAGATTAAATGAATTGTGGGTTGATTTCTGTTGCATATCCACACTGCTATGCTCCGATTAGTTTGATTACCAGGGCCAAGAGAAATGCTCAGTGAGAACAATGAGCAGTTTCTCTCCCCAGAACAACTTTGGATTTTTAGTAGGATAACGGTGCAATGAAGTGGCAACAGAGCTGTAAAAGGAGAAGGCCACGGGCTGACATACAAAGAGTGAAAACAAAAAAAGGGTCCTGGCAACCAGGAAACTCCACACTGAGGACTGCCACTGTTCCTCTGCCTCTGGAAAACAGAGACGTGTTTTCTGCTGCAGGAATTGTTGAAACGAGAGCCTTAAAGCAACGTTTTTTATTCTTCCTCTCAGTAAAACAGAAGCAGGCAGGGCCTAAAAACGGACTAACTCACCCCGTTCAAGCTGCCCAGGTCCTTCACCATGTGCTCATCAGTGTTTGGGTTGTAGTTGATCACAGCATGCTGTTTGTCCACACTGCGAGACTGCAAAACAAAAGCCACACAGATGAAACTTGGCATTGGTAATTTCTTACAATATTTACAAGTTATCTGAAACTGTTTGGAGAAAGTGTTAAAAAAAAAAAAAAAAAAAGCAGAAATGAAAGAATAACATCAAATGTTGAAACTGAGAACGCTTATTGTTCTCCTATTTAACACATTTAGAAATAATTTGTAGATTTTATAAGAATTCTCATATCACTAGGATAAAAAGCAAAAATTCAAACAACACTACAATAAAAATAAACTATTTTTATCATTAAAAAAAATACACTTAATGGGCTCAAAAACCCAGCTGTAAAGCTCCAACATGTAATGTTTCGCACTTTTAATATTTTCTACATCCTAATTAATTATGGGCTTTTATTCTTTAGTCAAACGCGTGTTTTTATTTCCATTTTAGAAGGGATCTGGTAAAAGTTAGGAAGCTCAAAGACACCACACACAGACGGTCGTCTTCAAACGAGCAGCAAATCTACAAAGTTGCACCAATTATTGTTTCCATTCATAAAAATCTGCCAGGTTTGGAGTGCACGTTTGCCACTTAGGGTAAAAATATGTCTCTTGTTTGTGTGAAGAATGCTCAAATGATAGAGAGCTGCTGCTCGTTAGCACCCTGAGCCTTTCTGTCACAAAAATACAAACACAATGACTGACAAACTCCATGAGCTAAATTAAACCTTGCTCTCCAGCGGACCGTTTGCAGGCTTGTCATGAACCCCTGAACGTTGTCCTGGGAATAACAGGGTTGGGATGTTTTGCGTTTTTGTCCATACGAGTAAACTCACAGCCCACAGTGGTGATTTATCAAATAGTTGACCTCCTTGATTAGTTTAACTATGGCGGCTCCAACAAAAAGATACCACAGTCTGAGCTTGATGGCCTTAAGCTTTACTTTGGCTCCATTATCAAAAATAATTACAATACTTATGTGGAAACAAAGCGCTTTAGGGCCAATCAGTGCTCATGGAGATACAGCTCAAACACCCCTCGACACGGAAAGTCCAAACACTTAAGGCCCGGAACAGTGTCGTTTAAAACAACACTGCTTTTCACGCTAAACTGGATTCTCACGTTTCTGACAAACGCATCGAGGTGGCCACACACAAAAAAAAAAGAACAGATTTAAAACTATTTGGTACAGAAACGGAGCGCGGTCCAAATCGGTTTCAGTAGAAACAGTGAAGCATGCACTAATTCAGAGAGAGCAAAGGAGCTGAGGTTTTTCCTGAATGCGACACCGCCTAACTGTGGATGGGAACAACTTCTCCATGTAAGCGCCGTCTGTGGTTGACGGGCATATCTGCGCTTAACACACAAAATAATGGCATGAACAACTGCCTCAGAGGCAACATTCCTCCTTAACTGGTCTAAACACAGAGCGAGAACAAAAAGAGACGGGAATAATTATGTAAAGACCACAAAGACATCGAGTTTATAGGAGACAGCACACGAACAACACAGCAGAATGATTTAAATGCATTTTGAGGTGATCATTTGAAAGACTGTCCGAGACAAGTGTGTGAGAGGACACCGTTACACACTTAGACGTGAATTCACTCAAGTGGCCTCTCTATTTATTTATCACTAGAGGAGTGCACATTTCTTTGGCTTGTTTTCTGTGTAGGTGCAAGCTTCACGGCAGCCACTCACCTGCAGCATGAGCTCGCAATCGTCCCGACCCACGAAGATCATCTCCCGGGGCAACCTGTGGCGTGTGCCCGAGCTGCTGATTAGGAACCATGACGTCACGCTCATGTCGGAGCCACGTGTCAGGATCCGCTTAGCATCCTGGAGAAACAGATGATCGGAATAGGTTTGAAATAAATGTGCATAATATCACGTGAGCCACTGATAAAATACATGGATGAAACCCAAATCTGTACAAGATTCTGGAGTGCAAACAAAAACAGCTACAAAGAATGGCATTTTCATAGTTTTATATGTTTCGTTTCATTAGCTTCTCTGAAATGTCTCAGTGCTCTCTGAAACGTACTTCAATGGGTATGCTAACAATGTTTTAAAGGGGTTTAAGTAAAACCAAATTATTTTATTTGAAAAGCTTTACAGGATCTTGCATCTTCTTTTGGCTTTTCCCTCTTCAGGGATCGCCACATCAAGTCATCCTCCTCCATCTCACTCTGTCTTCTCTAACTGCATCCATACATCTCTCCTCTGTCTTTTTCCTGGCAGCTGCATTTCTAACATCCTTCTACCAGTATACCCACTGTCCCTCCTCTGGACATGTCCAAACTATCTCAGTCTGGCCTCTAACTTTATCTCCCAGTTGTTCAACCTGTGCTGTACCTCTGATGATCTCAGTCCTAATCTTATCCATCCTTGTCTCTCCTAAGAAGAACCTCAACATCTTCATTTCTGCCACTTCCAGTTCTGTCTCCTGTCTTTTTGTCCACGTTTCTGTCTCCAGACCATACAAACACAGCTGCTCTCACCACTGTCTTGTAAACTTTTCCTTTGACTTTTGCCGACACTCTTTTGTCACAAATCAGTCCTGAAACTTTTCTCCATCCTGCCTGGACTCTCTTCACCACACTCCTTGTTTTTGTGGACAGTTGACCCTGAGTACTTGAAGTCCTGCACCTTTGTGATCTCTGCTCCTTGTAGCCTCTCTGAAAACAAACCAGAAGGTTACAGCTAGGGATGCACAATATTGGATTTTTGGCCGATATCCAATACCAATATTATTTTTCCTAGACTTACTTTTCATTCAACCTTTATTTATACAGGTTAATCCCATTGAGCCTCAGGGACTAATTTACAAGAAAGACCTGGACCTGCTTACAGAGACTACATAACTTTCTCTGCTGTAGAATTAAAATACATTATTCTGCATGGTCTTTGTCAATTTGGCCTGCTACCAAACGCAGATGCCAAAAAAGGGGCTGAAAATGATGTTACATTATATAAATATATAATATATATTTAAAAAAACAGCGCCTTTTATATTGGTGAGTTATTTTGATGGAATCTCCGATGTCCGATATTTAACTTTATCGCTAATATCAGCCGATACGATACCATGCTGATAATCTCGTGCATCCCTAGTTACATACAGCCTTTGAAAATTCTAACTTTTGGGATAATTTACTTCCTGAATTTTCATTGAACGATATGAAAAGTTGTCACGGCTTATTTGTTGGTTGGAAATAAAAAATACTTTTTGCGCATTCAGGAATATTAAGCAGCTTTTGTTGGAGCAAAAGTTCAAAATATGCCAAAGTTACTTCTCAAATATGAAGCAAAGAACTACATGACGGGGTACTTTTTATCTATGCTGATCGTTTTCTGTGCTTCAAAATGTTCTAAAGTACTTTTCTGCAAGTTTGCTCTGTTTGGAATATGTGAACCAATACAAACTAATGTTTGTAGAGTTTGGTTTTAATATTGATTTTCAAGTATTCAAAGCACATTTTTACATCTGATTAAATCTTTATTTTTGTGTATTTTGGGAACCAAGGTGCAAAAGTTGTGCTTTGTATTTACTATACATACAGAATATATTTTAAAGTATTGTAGTTTGATTAAATGTTATTAAAACAAGAGACCACGTTCACACTGGGAAACATGGATGTTAGCTTCCTATAGCATTAGTAAACAATGTTGACAAAATTACAAGCCATTCTTAACGCTTTAAACTTAATCCTGCCTAAAAAAACATATATTAAAACCTCGTTTTTAATGTGACTAATGTCTGTTGTTGACGGCGGGGTTGTTGAGCCAGTGAGCCTCAAAAACTGCGACCTTTTCTCCAATTTGTTCCCAACATCAGGACACGCTTACCTTCAGTGCCTTTTCTGTTTTACGCCTTAAAGAAGCCAGTGTTTCAAGTCCAACTGTGAAAAAACTTCGACGGCAGATATAAAAGCAAACAGGTGACACCAACAGGTAAACGCCTAACACACCCTCTTCCTACTTTGGGAGTGACAACCGGACGAAGCTCTCCTGAAAAAAGACGCCTCTTCTCTCTGTTCCACGCAGTGACGTCACTGACGTAAGTCCATCAAACTGGTATGATCAGAGAGAGAGAGAAAAAGAGGTCTCACTCTGTCTGAATTCCGAGCAGGGAGGAAAATTTAAGCCACGCCCACCTGTAGCACAGTTTGTTTAACTTTGTTTTTATTTATTGTTGAGCGCTAGCACGCTAATTTACAGGTGACAATTAATTTTTTTCATCTGAAATTCGTTAATAGTACAAAATGAAACACTTCTAAAGAAAAAAAAACAGCAGAAGAGAAGGCAAAAATGTTCAAACAAAAACAAATTTACGATAATAAAAACGAGACAAAGCTATACAAACTGCAATCAAATACTGATATTGAAAAAAATCGTGTTCTTTTTTTTTTCTGTGCGCTGTTCATGATGCAGGGCAAGTCATTCTTACAGCGCATGCGTACAACAAAAACAAACATGAAAACCATCGGGCGAGTCATCGTCATTATAGACGATCTACGTCGAACAAGCCGACACATGTCAAACTTTATCTAGTGCTAAACTCCAGCTTAAGGTAAGAAAAACAGACATGTTTTTGGATATAACACCATCTCAAACAGTCTGATTTTTACAAATCATACAACTAACAATGGAAAATAACATTTCAGGTTGATTTGATTTTATTTGCTGGAAAACTAAACATCAGTTTGAAACAACTTTCATCAGTTATTCAAATCATTTTCTCTCATTGATGATAAAACAAAGCGTCCTTTAATGCTGCATGGACATGTGTTTATTTTTTAGGAAAACGCCACTAGATGGGGCGATAGCACCAATATAAACTAATGATTGTGTATTTTTTCTTTACTTGGTGAGGATTATTGGAAAGCACCTTTTAAAGCAGTTCAGTCATCCTGCTGAAAAAGCCCCAGTCGTGTCTTTGTGTGGAGGATTTTTAACTTTCACTGCTGTGACATCTAGGGCAAATGTTCAGTTTTTAAAACCTTTATCAGTTTTCTAATAAATAACAAATGACTAGGGTTAAATATGCACTGCCAAGTTGTTTTGCTGCATTAAAGATTTCCATTAATTACAGTTTGAACTCCTCGTATCAACAGATTAATGTATGTGTAACAGTTAATGCATTTAGTATATTGCATATCAAATTGAGCCAGAATCTATATTTTCCATTAAATACTTTTACTTTCAGTGCTCAGATAAAAGGAGCTTTGGATGACATCCATAGTGGATGCCAGTGGCGATGCCCTCCCCTCCAGCTCCGTGTTGTTTTAGCCAGTCCAGCTCAGGTCAGGTGAGTGGCACACTGAGCCCAAGCCTGACGCTGCTGAGCTTTGCAGCTGGGCAAAAAAGAGCAGACTGTGAGTTCTGGCTGTCAACATCTGCTCCAGAGACTGTACCATCTGCCCCGAGGCCCTGGGGAGGAGTGCTGCTCCTCATCTCAGACCAGCTGCAGAGGCCCAGAGGTGGACCAGAACTCTGCCAAGACACAGTCAGAACCATCGAGTACTGGAAGAGCTGTCTCACACATTTGGCTGTTTAATTTGGAGGTTTTGACCATGGAAAGGTTTTAGACAAATTCAGCTCCTGCATTAGTCATTTTTTCCCACAGTGGCAGAGCCGAACCTGCAACGTAAAGACTTGTTGGTTGGAGAAGAACAAAGAACATTTTATGTAAAGAGAAGCAAGAAAAGTAACAAGAGATTAACATTTTCTATAAAATTGTGGTGTGGATGTTGGATAACTTTTTAGAAGCAGAACAAGATAAATTAAATCTGAATATGCATTTAAATGATCACAACACAAGCTAAAATGAGAAGAAAACTAGCTAACTTAAGTCAAATGATAAAAAGCTCAAATAAAATAAAAAACCAGTAGATAAGTTAAATGAGCAAAGCTGTAGCTAAAAAGTACAGTCATAGCCAAACCATAGTTAAAGCTAAAAAAAAAACTATTATGTAGCTAAATGTGAAAATTAGCTAAACAGTACCCAAAACTAAGATTAGATAATTGTAACTAAAGTCTAAAATCAGCGATAGCTGAAAGTAGCCAAACCAGTGCTAGAAGTTCAAATCAAAATAGAAGCCAAAAGCCTAAATTAGCAAAATAGTAGCTAAAGGCTAAATAAAACAGAAGTGGATAAAACATAGAGCAAGTATGCAGAAGCAGATTTTTAAATATATATTTTTAAGAAAATGGAAAGATCTCGATGAAAATTCTTGTAAAGTTAAATATTGTGAAGTCAAAAAAATTACAAAAAACAAAAATGTGTTGCTGAGCCACTATTCCTGATCAAGCGAATGTTTTTGATATTTAGATTAAATTAGGAAGAACTAGTTCATACAAAATAAAATCAACAGGAACACAAGTGTGAATTTGAACACACAAGACGTACACGCACAAAAAACTTTTATAACTACACAAAACAATAAAATGTCATTCATGAATGGGTGCAAATGAAAAAACATGCATGAGGAAAAGCACGTGAAAAAGTGCATTATTTACATGAACAGATTAAATCAGGCTTATGTTCCTTACGACTTTTAAATTTCAAAATAAGAGCTGAGTCCACAAAGTGTTTGATAAGATTTTATTTCCCCAATTTAAACAAAACAAGTAAAAAGAGTGTTGTACAAAGTTTATATTATTCGTTTACTAACGCTGGTGTCCTCAGGTGTACAGGAGGGGCAGGTACAAAACAAGTCGACGTAAAAAATATAAAATGAATTTTCCCTATTTTATTTTTGACAGGTGACAGCAAAACGGGGTGAGTGCATAGGAAGGAGAAACGAAAGGTTCAAACTGTGAACAATTAGAAAAAATATATATCATAAAAACCCATTACATTCAATGACGAATTATGCACTTTTGCAAATGATTATCAGTCATTTTTTATTAAATACTGAAATGTGTTTGGAATCTCGGAACCTGGAAAAAAAAAAAAGTTTACCCTCAGCGGTCCTTTAAAAAAGAAATAAAAGGAAGAAATTACTGAAACGAACACAACTCTTTTCATTTGTAACCACAACTTATGAATTCATATTATAAAAGCTAATTTAGTCTTTACCAACCATAAATTACAAAAAGGGGTCCAAATACAATCATTCTGGGAAGCAAAGTGCATATCATTGGCACAGTGAAACTCATTTTATCCCACGTTGGTCTCGTATAAATAACTCCGCTCGTGAAGAGATAAAAAAAAAAAAAAAGACCCCATAGATGAGCGTCTTCCCCTGAAGTTTGCTTGCGATGGAATCTTAAAGAAGTTGGAGACCTCATTGAGGCTGCAGCATATGCACCGGGTGGAGAGCACCCAATAAGTGTAACGTACATAAGAAAAACCCAAAGGAGAAAAGTTTTCATGGGGGGGGGGCATTATTGAGCGACCCAGGCTGAGGAAACGAGCGCAGCATCCAGATGAAAAGGCATCAGGAACTATAAGCACTTACTTCAGGGGGAGCTTTTTATTAGCCCGAACAGGAAACCACGGGTCTTTCATTGATGTGCAAACAGTTTAAAAACAACAAATCCACCGCAGGCCATCTTATTCCCAAATGATTAGTCATGCTCGGCTTATCTGCATGTCTGCCTTTCCTCACATCAGACTATTGCACAATTATCAGACCCATCATGGTGTGGCATGACAATTTGACTGGTTTCAGTTTGCATCAGGACAGAAGGAAAAAAAGATTAAAAATCCTTTCCAGAAGGCGTTTCAGTCTTCGGAGAATTAGGCGTGTGTTACAGCACATAAGAATGCAGGAAGATGAACTTTATTTGATGGGGTACATTCACTTATGAAGCCAGAAATATAGATGTCTGAATGGACTTGGGAAACGTGGATTAATTAATCACCCGCTCAACAAACAACACTCTGCTCACATGGTGTTTTTTTGGTCCACAGCATGCCTAGAAAACTATTTAAAATGGTTGATATTTCTTTGCGTATGCAGAACATGAACGACCGCGTTCAGAATTCATAGATCTAGAGCCCAGTTTGTGCCCAACATAACCACATTAACCCATACATTATGGTGTAAGGATGCCTGCTCAGTTTACAACGTGACAACCAGGAAATGCAGGGTAGTGTTATCTTCATGGTCGGTCTTCAAAGGCCACAAAGAACAAGCGTATTTATCTTTGTTTTGCACTTCCTTCTTTTCGTGAAATGCAACTCGCAGACTGTGAGATCCGATGACTGCTTTCTGCAGACGCTGCTGGGAGGACGAGGATGAGGCCTTCCAGGTGGAGGGGGAGGTGGTGGGAATTGTGGGACCAGAGGAATGTTTTGAGTCGTTTTAGGCTGTCCCACTGGCAGAGTAGGAAAACTGGGGGAAGTGGGGTCGTCGCTCGCTGTCAAAGGGCTCCATACTGATATCTGGAAGTACAGGATAAACAAAATGTTTAAAAAAAAATTGATTAGCTCTTCTAAAACATAGGTGGTCCTATCTGGGTCCTCGAGGGACACTGCATATTTTAGATCATCTGCTCCAACACACCTGATGTGCATCAATGGGTGACTAACAGACTTCTGCAGAACATAAAGGGATAAATCAGCCATTTACCGTATTTTTCAGAGTATAAGTCGCATCAGTCAAGAAAAGCATCATGAAGAGGTTAAAAAAAACATATGTAAGTCGCTTTGGCGTATAAGTTGCATTTATTATGCGTCACCTGTTGCATCGATTGTGCATTTAATAATAGTAATAATAATGCGTATGTATTGTCATCACTGTATGTTCCCATACAATGGTGAAATTGGTTCTCTGCTTTTAACCCATCCACCACTAGGTGGAGCAGTGGGCGGCTATTGGAAGCACCCGGGGAGCAACTGGGGATGTGGTGTCCCACTGACTAGAGATGCGAACCCGAGACCTTCAGGTCCCGAGTCGGCTGCCCTGCCTCTACACCATCTCGGCCCCAATTTAATGGTCAAAACAGCTTCATTTCGCCTGGGCGGTGCGGCATGCATCCATCCATTGTGACTGGAGCCACTAGCTCTCCAGCATTCCTCCACCAGCTGAGTGAAGCAGGCGCACATGGGAGAACTCGCTGTTGCAGTTCTTAGAAATTTACCAAGGTTAACACTTTAAAACAATTATTTGTTTGCTCAGCATTTTAGCAAAGGTGTGTCTTAGTTTAACTTTTCCTTAATAAATGCACTTTAATGGTCAAAACAGCTTTAATTCGCCAGCCAGCCAGCCCGACCAGCTCTCCAGCGTTCCTTCACATGCACCAGCTGAGTGAAGAGAGCGCACACGGGAGAACTCGCTGTTGCAGATCTTAGAAATTTAAAGTGTCAGTCAAAAATTGTGTTATGAATATGTGGAAAAAAAAACGTCTATATGGTAAGTTGCTTTGGTGTATAGTCGCAGGACTGACCAATCTATGCAAAAAACTGACTTATACACGGGGAAATTGACATATTGGAGCAGTGAGATAAGTACAACATGCAGGTCAGTGGCCCTCAAGAACCAGGATCATCATTGTTCCAATTAGATGATATGACCATGTACTCTGCAAAATAAGGTAACAAAAAGTGATTCTGCAGGTAATGTTTTCTTAATCATTTGCACCTTATACAGAGTTGTGAGAAGATACAGAAACTAAAGACTGGTAGTGAATGATAAGCCCTTCAATTACTTTCAGTACGATTCTTAAATTTACTTCCAATCTTTTCATATAAAGAGCTGAAGTAGGATTTCATGTTTCTTTTGTTTAAATTTGATCTATATTACCACACAATTAATACATTAGCTCAATGCTTTTCTTTTTCATTTTGTAAGGTACGACCCTCAGTTTTAATAATACTGAATGTCCAGGAGAGGGCACACTACTCTCAAACTAGCTTGGTAATGCCTCCACTCCATCTAATAAGCTGAATATCACCAACTCAATTCTCTGCCAAAGGATGAAGAATAACATTAGGTAAAAATGCAATAAAAGGGGACAGATTTATGACAGACTGATCATGTTGGAAGCAGATGATCTTAAAATACATTTAAATATGGGCGATAGTAGTTTAACTGAAACAAACTTCAATGTTTTCCAGGTCTGATCTTAAGAAAAGTTAAATATCAAACAGGAGAGATTAGAAGCCTCGTCACACACGAGTCTGATGCTACCTTGTCCGGGTGGCGTAATCGTGATGGTTTGTCCTGTGAACTCCTCGTCAAAATATCGTGTGTCCGTCTCTGAGGTAACTTGGGGCTTAAACGGCGGGACCAGCTGTTGGAGGAGAGGAGACAATTACATCAGCACATCCCAGACATCAGTCAGTGCACGAACAGTTGCCTTTCTGTTGACAGCGTATACAGTTTCTACATTATGCTGCTTCACGTCGTGCAAGCTTATTGATCCCTGAGGGAACGGCAGCAATCTAAGTTGATTCAAGAAATCACAATTCAAAGAGGGGGAGAGAAAAACAAAAGCAAGAGAAAGGTTTCAGAAACCTACCTTCTTCTCATAAACGTCTTGCCAATTGATCCCAGCAAAAAACTTGTGCTGCATGATTTCCTTTGCATCATCAGGCCCTCCACCTAACCTAGAAACACAAATTCAAAAGGCTTTATGTTAACACATAAGTGGGAAGGAGCTCATATTAGAAATCTGTTTAAAATAAATAAATAAATAAAATGGTTCTGATGTTCTTACCTTTGCATGGGGTCTTTCTTCAGAAGACCAGAGAGCAGCGAACGAGCCTCTGGGCCGAGGGTCCGAGGGAAGCGGATGTCCTCCATGAGGATGAGCTCAAACAGCTTCTCGTGGTCCTGGTTGTAGAAAGGCAGCCTGCCGCACATCATCTCGTACATCACCACCCCGAGACCCCACCAGTCCACAGCACGGCCATAGTCGTTGTCTTCCAGGACCTTGAAGATGTGGAGGGGCAGGAAGATGCTTTAAAATGCAGTTGTTGTATTTTTCTATTGGACTTGTATCTTAATTTTATTTCTATACTGAGGTTAAAAAAACTGATATTGCACTTCTGCAAATGCAGTTTATTGAGCTAATAAAATGTGTTTAGACATCCCAACCAGCCTCCAACAAAATCTCCTGCTCTCCTCTCACCCCAGCACTGACTCACATCTCGCATTAGGAGTAAGGATAGAGTTTCCTTAGAGCTTTGCATATTTAATTGCCACAGGGCCTTCTACATATACACAAACGCATACAGATCGACAAGCAGAAGAGGTACGGTGGGTCGCTTACATAAACAAGTGTGCAGCAACCAGCAAACAAACAGGCTCGATTACCACTGCCACAGAATAAATCATATTTAATACTTTACACTTCTTAATGAGACAAACTCCTCCACTGTTGTGTTTGGTGAATAGCGCAACCTGTTGCATGACTAATGCGCTGCTGAGCAGAGTTGTTCCAAGGTGTCTGGGGACGTGTACTGGATTCTACCTCACCAGGCGACGGATGTTGAAGGTTAAATCAAGACAACGAGAACAGCCTGTTCTCTTGCACCTTCAGCAGCTAGAAAATTCAGACCCAAGAATAGAAACTTGGGTACAAAGATGAGGGTGGATTAACAAAATTAGATGTGAACGCAAAAGTCCACTGGCTAAGAGAGAAGGTCCCGAGAAAACAGATGAACGGTGTCCGTAAAAGGCACAAAACTGGGTGTGTGCATGCATGCAGCATGTGCGTGCGTCTGTCTGTGGGCGCTCGGCCTGGTGCTGCAGCGAGTGCTGAGCATCGAGGAGGAGGACTGGGAAGGCAGAGGGAGTAACGTGAAGCCGGTGCAGGGCTAAGATTACTGGGCTGTCTCTATTTCCAGCGCTGCTGTCGTGTGATTCACACCGTGCGACAGCTGGGCCCGCAGCTGCCCCATATATGTAGAAGAGCACCACAGCTGTGAAGCTGCCAGGAGCACAGGAGCCAAGCTCATCCCTCATATACGTAACCAGGACTGCCTGCCTATTTGGGCCCCAGCCTTAAGCTAATACTGTTACACTGCCCCAAAGGAGCAGAGATGGGGGAAGAGAAAGGAAATGGGGAGGATAAAAGGGACTTGCGGCTGATTCTTCAGAGCTTTAGTCTCTGAGAGCAGGAAAAAAAGAAGTATAAAGTTCAACACTGACAGCTATTAATCTTCCAAGCCGGTGAATCCAGATTGTTTGAGGCTAGATTAAACACGTCCGCATTTTGCTTTGCAGAGGTACCCCAACAGCCAATTCCCTTAGCCAATAGTAGTTTTCTTCCTGCAAGCGCTTAATAAAAGCGACTAAGTGAATTTTTCCAGCTCCTTACTCCTGAGACGAACTGGTCAGGTTGTTGTAGATTATTGAGTCTACCTCCCTGCCTCTCCCTCGCTCGCTGCAGCTTTGAGAATATTCCCAGACGTTATAGCATTCCTGTGCAGCACACACAACAAGGTCATTGTTTACTGCAGAAAAACCTGTAACACTGCCTGGCCTGCACTCCATAGAGACGCTTGCCAGCGACCCTGTTGCCACAGCAACGCCCCCTGATGTCTCCCCGCGCTCCGCTGGCAAGTTTGGAGCTGTCATGAGCTGCGGCTCTTTTGTGGAGGAGGAGAGTGGGCCTGGAGGAGCTTCAGATGGTCAGGTTTGAGAAATTTCAGCTAAAGAATTACAAAAGCGTGATTTTCTTATTTCAAAATGTTCATGCAGGTGAGGGGTAGTAAACCCAGATGTGAAGACAGTAGGGATGTGCGATATGGCATAAAATTCATATCACGATATGTTTTTGGTATAAAACTTGCAATAAGAATGAAAAAAAAGCACAGGGTGTCCTTTTGCCATCATTTATTTTGAAAACTGCTATACCACAAAATAATCTCAATTAAGAAAATTCCACTACTAAGTCCAGACTAGAGTTTTTTTAAATAACAAATCAAGTATTAGGCTTCTTTCTTGTAGTGCAAAACAATATATCAACTGTAGTTTTAGTCATATGTTTTAAACAAAAGAACATGTTAACTCGTAACAGTTTCCACTATTCTCACTTAAAAAATGAACAGCAACAGAGCAGCATTTTACACTGAAAACACTTCACCCTCCAGCCCTCTGGTGGGCGTCTCCTTTCGCTTTAAGGAGAGCTGACACAAAATGGCTACCAGTTTCCTCTGTGGCTTTGACCAGAGGGTCTCGCAGTAAAATCACACAACACAGCGTTCTTTTCACAGATCAGAAAGCAGGTTTAACTTTTTTTTTTTTTTTTTTTAGCTCAAATGCACTCTCTAAAGCTGACCAACAAACTATCGACAAAAAAAACCCCCAACTTTCGACAGAACAGCGTTTTGCACATGCGTCCGAATACGAGTACTGCAAGCCGGCTGTAGTTAGCGTGTAGCTTCGCTAACGATTAAATCTGACAACTCTGATTTTACATTAGACACAGCATTACTGCGGTTAGCAGACAGAAGACAGATCTCTATCATACACTAAATGTCTATCGTCTCTGTACTGTATACAGTATATCTCCTAGAAGACAGAAGAGAGAGCTGCCTTTCTTTGTGGCCTGGTGTAAATTATTTAAAAATGTTCAGTCTTTCACAAATGATGTGCTCCTAAAAAAGCTTGAAGCACTGTGGAATATTGTGTTCAGGTCAGGTGAGGCATCCCAGGCAGCAGCAGTCATCGTGGCTCCCCTGGTGCCGCACAACAACCGTAGCCAACGTGGTCTTTTTTCCCACTCCTCTTTCAGGGGTGGAAGTTCACGTTTCCTAAAGTCCTGCCAGCCAAACATCTCTGCTCCTCCCCCAACCAGAAAATTCCAAATGTGGTCTAAAAACAACGATACAGCAACTGTGTCAACACGGAGACCCTGCTCCCGGAAAGCATTTTTACGACAACGGGCCAAAGAACCCACAAACACTCACAATGAAGTATTAGGTTACACAGCCCACTCCAACGCTCGTCATACCTGCACGCCACAGTGAGAAGCCACACCCCTCCTAAGACGGAGTATGAGAGCAGGGTGCCCTGCCCTGGGCACACAGCACGCTCATTAACTTCAGCTGGAGATTAGAAAGGCATTTTGAGACAGCTGCTCCTACCTTCAAACACTTCCCATCCACTGGTCCAACAACACTCCACATTTTTGTTTGAGACCAACAAATGGTCACCATTCGCTGTTTAAGCTTACCTACTTAAACGTAATGAATGTAGATTTCCTTTTAAAAGAAGATATAGAGGGGTAACTGAAAGGTTTGATGTGTGTGGAAGTTGTGCGACTTGTACACCATGATCACAATCACACATGAAATATTTTCAACAGATGTGTTAAAACCCTCTGAATCACCATCGAACACGACCAGGCTGCTCGTCCCAACAGATCAAGGCAAATTAATTGTCAAACTTTTATTTTTAAGCTGCTAAAATGATCAATCAGAACAAAAAACAACTGTGTTTACCTCAGGCGCCAGGTACTCTGGTGTCCCACAGAAAGTTTTCATAGTGGCACCATCTTTGATGCCCTCCTTACACAAACCAAAGTCTGTGATCTTTATGTGTCCGTCTTTGTCCAGCATGAGGTTTTCCAGCTGAGCAAAGAAAAAAAAGACACTTAGTCAACATAAAATGAAAACTTTTATCTTTTATATGAGGTGAAATTAAGATTACACAACAATACACAAATAAAGACAGAAATATCACTAACTTGTTTGGAAAATTAAAGCAAGAATGTGTGCTTGTAACAAATTTAATGTATTACCAACTTAATTTTCAGCTATTTTTTTTACTAAATAATCTTGTCTCAGTACATCAAAAAGACAATTTTGCACACAATTCTTTGATAATTTATCTAAAGCAATTGTAAAAAAAAAAAAAAAAATGCTGTATATATTGAGCTGGGGATCAAATCATCAGTGTTCCAGTTAAAAGCTGCAAACTCTATTAAATATGTGCCGACACAGAAATGAAAATGTACTTGATGACAAAATAAAAAGGTAACTTGACCTAAAGGCCATAAAGACGAGCATCACTTAGTGACATGACTTGAGGTTGTTCTTTCCTCCTCCTCTTTCAGTTCAGGTCACCTGACAGCTGTAGCTCACACGTGGCCAGCAGCGCCCGGCCAGAGTCAGCACATCCTCAAATCCTGCTATCCTGGCATTTTCAGGAGAACCCTCGCAGGCTGGGAGCCTGCCTCGTAAAACCCAAGGGAGGAAAGGAGGGAGGGAGTGTGCGCTGTGCTGACCTGGCTGGTATAGTTTTATCAGCTGGAAGTAGTGTGGCTACAGATGCCCACTGCAGCACCGATAACCCTCCTAAACAAAACCGGGCCCATCAATCTGGAAGATCAATGGCTGCCATCTTTACAGATACAGAATTCTGTTTATTCTTTTAGCTCAAACACAGAACCAGAGGCTGAGACCTTAAAACCTCTTCACTGTGGAAAGATGGGTTTTTTTCCTCTGCAAGGAAATGCAATTTCACTGGACTTAAACTTACAAAACGATATCAATTACAAACAAAGTGCACAGGTTTCACCCACTGGGCACCGAGTGAGTGCTAGAACCGGAGGCAGTTACAGTTCGTTCAAAGCGTGGTTATTTCTGTCTTTCTGCAGTAACATATGGACCAAGCTCGTCTCCAGCTGCAGTGAGGTCTGGAAGAGGCAGATCAATAAGGCTTGGCCACCACCACTGCTCAGGATGAAGATAAACCCTATTTATATCCAGGCGGAGGAGGAAGAAATGAAGGAAAGGGAGAAAAGGCAGAAAAGAGCAAAGAGGCCACAAAGGGCGAAGGAGAGCACTCGTTTCCCTGCCTACCTTTAAGTCTCGATAAACCACATTTCTCTCAGCATGCAGGTAGTCCAGTGCCGACACTATCTCTGCACCGTAGAACCGAGCTCGCTCTTCTGAGAACACACGGTCTCTTGACAGATGGAAGAAAAGCTGGAGATTGCCAACAAATAAGACAAATGAGACTTGGTTCAGAAGAAAAGGGGGAAACTTTAAGGCATCACTGACTTATAAAAATCCAAAAGGTGGACATTTGTGAGGTTTTAAAATGGCTTACCTCGCCGCCGTTTGCATACTCCATTACAAAACACAGGCGGTCGTGTGTTTGGAAGGAGTATTTCAGTCCCTGCAGAAGAAGAACATGTTAAAAGCAGAACTCAGCGTTTCCAGCCAAGTCAAGAGGAAGCTGCCTTTCAAAGAGCTGGTGTTATCATGCAACTTTCAAACAAACATCTGCAGAGAGCTGGAGGAATAAAACAAATATCAAGTGTTCAGATGATAGAAAAAGGGACAAACTCTGAACACTGCGTTATTTGTTGTTGCTCAGACTAAAACTCAAAGAGTGTCACTCACTAAAGATTCACAAAAAAGGTTAACAGATTTAAAAAGAGCCAAGTCGGCTATAGTTTAAACAAGTATATCAGTTTAAAAAATACTTATCAAACTTCCCCCATCAGAATATATGCTGCCGGGCTGAACTGAAAACGTTTGAGCATCTCCATCAGTTAAAAAGATTTGGTTTAGGTACTCGGGGTTCCTTACAGTCAAGAACGGATGTTTTGAATTCTGGAGGACTCTGTTTTCTGTGAGTGTGTGTGCCACTTCATCCTGTAAAAGAAAAGCACAAAGAGTGTTTGTGCAAGTCTTACAATAGCTAACTATTTAGGTATCAGTCATTGCTCTGTTGCCCTCCTAAACCAGAGTGTTTTTCACCCCCTTTTCACTTTACTCATTGGCAACCACTCACTTTCGCTACGATCACCTCCTTCTTTAGGATCTTCATGGCATAGTAGCGTCCTGTGGCCTTCTCCTTTACCAGAATAACTTTGCCAAAAGTTCCTTTTCCCAGGAGTTTGAGGTATTCAAAGTCGTGCATAGTCTAGAAGGCCAAAGCAGACAAAGTGGCATCTGGTTACAAACAGGAGCAGCAACAAACACAAGCACTAATTAGCTGGGACACACAATCCCACTGACAAAAACACTAAAGTGTTTTAGGCACCATTTTACCCACCAAGCAATTTTCAAATTTTTAATGGTTAGACCTATGTCATATATAGTTCTGGTTCAACTAACCTCTGACACAAACACTGAAGAGAAATGCTGAAAATTGTGTGGAGAACACCCAATCTTGTGGCTTTTGAACTTTATGTTGTGACACACGAGGAGGGGTTGTGGACGTGTTATCTAGTGTTCAGACACCCGTAGTTGATGTTTGGGAAAGAATGTGAAAGAGGGGAAGCAGTATGAGTTGAAGCTGTCAAAGTGCAACTAAAGCAAGGCCGGATCAAAGAGGACTATAGCCGCTTTGCTATTGATAAGTGTGACTCCACTCGGCTCTCATCTTATCGGTTCCTCTCAGGCGAAGGTGATTAGCAACTGTGACTTGTTTTTCCGCTCTGTGGGCGGTATCGTCATTGCAAAGTATACTGAATAACAACGCCAGTCCCACCAGTCCGAGCCACTCTGACCGTTGTGTTCCTTCATCCTTAATCAACCTATAATCAATCGGACTTCAATTTCCTTCACTGCTTATAAGTGAGGGTGTAGCCACATTGCGCCAGCAGCTCCGATATCTCTCTGTAAGTGCACTCATGTCTTGTGGCACCATCCAGCTGAATCCTAACATCGGCCAGTAAAGTTAGCCTCACTGGTCCACGGCACTATTTTTGGAACTTCCATACCAGAAACTCGAAAAAACAACACGCAACACGATCAGAGAGGAAGTGGAGGTTCAAATGCAGTTTGCTAAGCGGGTCATCCTGTGACGTCGCTCCGCTGGCCAATCAACGGCATCACCTCGGAGCAGTCTGCTGGGAACCACAAACAAGGTGGTCCTAAAAACTGGGCTGAGTGGGGATGGATACCAGCAGTGGGCAGGCTGGTGTGGTGTAGAACCGATAAAAACACATAACAGAGTGCCAGTACCACTTTGTGTCTGGGTTTGGTCAGGTAGACCTCCATGTCCATGGGGTCTGGAGAAGAGTCCATCATCTCCTCCTCTTGTTTGTGAAGGCCTTCAGCTACTGCCTGGATGGCTTTGGTCCATTCTTCCCTGAAGGGAGACAGAGGCGGCAGCAGAGAGAGAGAGAGAGAGAGTGAGAAAGAGAGAGAGATTACATCAGCTCATTTGCCATCATGCAAGCCCAGCAGCCCAATCACGTAATTGTCTTCTTATCAACAGAAAGGCAATTTCACGTCTGAGTTCTGCCAATAGGCAGTGGACCTTGTGAAAGTGTGTAATAATGATTAAATATATATGCTTCTACATGTTAGGAAAAACAGAGCTCTTAATTTGTCCTACTATTTCCCAGGGACAAGGGCAAATAGTTTCCATGTAAATGATTCGTGTTTTACTGTTCCGTGTGCAAAGAGGTGTGTGCTCATCTCGCTTGCCTTTCCTCGGGGGTCTCCACGTGGAAGGTGCGCTCGATGACAGTGGTCCACTGCAGGCAGCGGATGATGAATGTGTTGGGCTTGGGCCGTTCCGTCTTCATCAGCTGGCATTCTGACCACAGCCAGAGAGAGCGGGGAGGGAGATGAAGAGAAGAGCCAGTGTGTAGGAAACAGAGGGGAGAGACAGAGCCACAGTTACAGCCATTTATCTTTATCGCCACCCTAACAGACACTGTCGGCCAATTTGTAAAAGAACAGGTGCACTCTGGTGGAGGAAAACAACTCCCATCCTTAATTTGGGAGCTCCTTCAAAATGAAACCTTGGAAATATAAAGGTTTGATCTAGATTAGGAATAATTTCGTAGTAAGTTATTTTAATGTATTAATAAAACAATAATTATTTACACATTTTTGTCTGTATTTATCATGGAATATCTTTAAAACGTTAACAAAAAGATAAACCTTTGGTGCAAATAATGGTTACATAAGCAGTTTGCAAAATCAATTACTCAGAAGACAGAATTTACGACGCAAAGATTTCCATCTGCACCTACTTCACATTAACATCTGCTCCTAAATGGAACATGTCAGTAAATATGTCAGGGTGTGACACAAAAATGGCCTCTCTCTGATAGATGGAGGACGCTGAGTGGACCACCACTGAGATCCAACATGGCTTCATCTGGATGAATATATATTCCAGCTGCAGCCGCACCGTCAGCAGCGACACACTATGTGCCCTCCAACGGTGGGGTCGCGGTGGTGACAAAAAAACTAAACTAAACAAAGCCAACAATGATGGAGACAAGAGCCTCAAAGCATAGCCCAGATAAATACTGAAAATCAGGTGGCTAATGACGACAATAACTCAAGCGCGTTGGGGAGGAAACATTTAGTTAAACAAATAGTGTGCTGTCTAATTGCTGCGCTCAGTCATCAGCACTGATACTTTCTCTGATGTGAAGATTGAGTGAGCTGAATGGCTCTGGGCATTTGTTGATGTTACTTTCTGTGGCACTACTAAAATAAACGAGGATTTTGGAAGACATGCAGTGACTGAGGATAGCATCTAATGACTACATTTCAAGAGACAAATATTAAGCATGTACACACTGTGGCAAAGGTTCTTAGCTTCCAGAAGTACGATGATATTGACGAGATGATACTACAACCAGTTTCCACTTGTCATTAAATGCATCTTACTTTTCCAACACTACCTAGTATATGTACTACATATTACACACTACTAATGTATGAGACCAAGGATCTTGAGAATACATTGATCCATCCATCCAACCATTCATTACCCACTTCTTCCTTTCTGGGACGCGGGGATCGCTGGCACCTATGTCCTGCAGTTAATATGTGAGAGGCGGGGTACACCCTGGACAGGTTGCAAGTCCATCCCAGAGACACATAGAGACAAACAACCATATGCTCATACTGTACATAGGGAACGTTTCGTGCCAATTAACCCAACATGAATGAGTTTTAGTCTGTGGAAGAAAATCAGATTACCAGGCAAAAAACTTTGTTAATTTATTCATCAGCTTTTTTATAAATCAACACAAGTCACGAAAATCTAGTTTATCAAAGAAAATACGTGTTTTCAACATAATCCCACCAATTGTTGCATCTGTGCATAATCTATCACATATCAACAAATCCTGTTTCAAAGTAAACATTCTCAATAGAACAATTTAAATGCAGCCAGCATCTTTAGCTTTTAAAATAATACCTTAGCTGGGACTATAAGAGTTTTCATGGCATGTCTACAAGCTACAACAACTGTCTAAAGTGAGCATGCTCAGTTCAGTCATGTAGGAGAGCTTTGTGTAAAACTAAAGTGTTTTCTACTCAGCTTATGTGTATCCTTAGTACCAGACACTTCATATTGCATCTTGATTAATTAGATTGTCCAAATTTGCATCTTGATTAATTAGATTGTCCAAATTAATGGATGCCAACCTAAGATTTCTTGTGTAAAATCCTGTACATCACAAATATCCAAGAGGGTTGTTTACAACATTGGGATGATGCACAGTGTGAACTTGTTTAAAATCATAACAGACACAATCACTTCTAAAACACAATGGAGATGCACCGTGACAAGGACTTACAGTAGTCCCTCGATTATCGCGGGGGATCCGTACCCTGAAGCCCCGTGATAAGTGAAAAACCACGAAGTAAGAATAGTAGTAGAAGGTAATCGTTTATTTTAGTATGTATATATAAAAAGGCATTTTAAACCCTTCCCACACTCTTGCAATATTCTAAACAATGTTTCTAAACACTAAAAAAAGCACAGAGTCATGAACTCAGCTCTCTGCCATGGCTGCGCTCTGCACTCTTGGCCACACCCACTTCTCCTCTGCAGAAAGGAGATCGACAGAGGAGGAAGGAGGAGGAGCTGCAGGAGGAAGTTTATCTTGCAGTGTGAGCTGCAGACAGGTGCAGCACGTGCTAAATAATATAAAGTAATTCATTTTAAATTAAAATTATGTGCCGATCGTGCGGCTCATCCATCAATCAGCCAATTGTGTTCCAATCTTATTTTGAAAAACTGCAACAGAGCGAGTCCACGAAAAACGAACCGCGAAGTAGCGAGGGACTCTTGGAAAGAATTATTTAACAAAGCACCTGGGCATGGTTTTTTTCTTGTAAGGTGCAAAACATGATGTTTTTTGGTTCTATTATCAGATGTGGACTTGGTAAGGCACCAAGCTGTGGTCTGGTTGTGTTTTCCAACTAATAGCTCACAGATGTAGTGCTTTGCAGAAAATTGTAAAAAAAAACTAAAAAAGTAAAGCAAGCTGCCAGGAAACAATGAGAAGAGGTTGTTTCTCTGATGTAGATACTCACGTGCTACAGAGAAGTTATTTAAGGGGGTTTCCAGCTGGTCCACATCTTGTGGTCGCTCCTTGTAACCGATAAACGTACCATCACTCTTAAGAAGAAAATACCTTGGCCTCCAGGTCTTGATGTATTCTCCTGATATAGCAAAGATAAGGAAAGAAGGGAAGCAAAAATATGTCATAGAAATCTCTGATTAGAAACTTTAACTGAGAAATTTATGCTTTAACATTCTCAAAATGCTGATCAGTGTGCAACTGTCCTGTTTAATCTCTAGTTTTATTATTAATATTTTTTGCTGCCCATTTTGTTACCACCAGTTTCATTTTTAATAAAGTGAAGGTCAGCTGCAGGATAAATATTGGTTTGAAATGAAGTCAAAATACACTTTTTTTCCAGACGTTCTAAAATTGATGCACTTTAGATAAAATACTCTAAAAAAAAAAAACAGACAAAAAGTAGTTTTCTTGCTTTCAGGGCTTTATGCATTTAATCAGGACTGACTCATTGAGATATGATTTCTCATCTTTCAGGGAGTCCTAGTCAACATGACAGCATGGAACCAAAACAAAAACCGTTTTACAGAAAAGTATTACTATAAAAAAAGTATTCAAGCGAGTTGATTTTAGAATTGCATAAATAATATAGGAGAGAACAACAAAAGAGTTCTGACTTATCAATTTGAAAGTACAAAGAAAGTATAATTTGAAGTTAAAGTTGAATAAAAATAGAGGAAGCTGATTTGGGCAGGTTTATTTTATTTTTTTGCAATTGTCCACTTGAAAATTTCCAAGAATTACCGGTATATATTTTTTACATGAATTGAAGTTTTACACAAAACTCCCCACATTACCAATCTTCAAGACCTGCTATAACCTCAAACATGCACGCTCGCTCTAATCACTTAGACAAACTGCGCTTGCATTACGCAAATTAATCTCTGTGAAGGCAGACAAAACTCAATTTATTTCAGAGATGCTTCAGGAAATGTTGCGCCAGATGTTGCGCAGACGGTGGAAGAAAAGGCTTACATATCATAACAAGGCAGTGGCACACAATGGTGTGGAACTTGAATATTTATACAGGAAAATTGTAATTTATTTTTAATTACGAAGCCACATATTAACCCCCTGCAGAGAAGTGCCAAGCTGTCCTTAATTGCTCCATTTCCTCCAATGCAGGAGTGTGGCGTTTTGCGTACAAGAGACATCGTGTACAGAGATGTAGAAAATTTGTCAATATGAGCTTCTGCTAGTCTTCAAACACAGTTCTGATTGATGAAACTGATAAACAGACAGTATAAAAAATCTGCAGCTAGTGGCACTGCCTGTGTATAACAGGATCCTATAAATTTATTTGAATAAACCTCACATGAATTAACAACGCCGCCTGATCATCACAATGTGTTGTTTTGACACTTATTCCTTTTCCTGCTTCACATCAACACTTTTTTAATTAAAAAGTGGTACTAGTAAATTTGAATAAGATCCGTCTTCCTTGTAGGGGAAGGAGAAATAAAAATAGATATTTTGAAAGCAAGTCATTCAGGATGCAGCATGATAAAAAATAAAAAACAAGAATGATATGAATTATATAAAATGAGATGCTGGTACATCATTTTCCAGTAGTGTCGCTTTCATAAACTTGTTTTTCTTCGGAGTCATTATTTTCACATAAAATACACATTTTAGAAATTAGCCCGTCTTTGTCAACAGTGAGATGGTCTTTCAATTAAGGAAGATGCGCTAACGCAATAGCAAAGTCTTTCAATTTTATTTTTTTAAACTAAAAACCTTACCCATCAGCTTTCACAACAGTCACCTTTGTATCTTTAAAGAATCCACATGTACACGGTTATTTATCACAATTAAAAATCTCCCAGCTGTCTTATTTTTATGGCACTTCGACTGACAGCAAAGTGCACACGAGGCGCGTTTTAAGAAAACACGTACGTTAAGAGCCCATTTAACAAATATTAAGACGCCCAAATCTATGACCATAAACTCTCTGGAGCCTTTTGTGTTGAGCCCGTTTCTTCCTCAGCTGGGCCCCAGCTGGTGACTTGTTCTGTGGTCAGGTTTTGGCTGACCCATATTCCCTCGCCATGGTCCAAGCCAACAAACACTGAGGACAGTATGTGCACAATGCAGAGGCAGCATAATGAGCCCCCTACCTGACATCACGACGTAAGCCGAGGGCGCATCTCGCCAGCGCAAACGAGACAAAAAGTTGCTGCTGTGAAGTTTTGGGTTTGGAAACAAGAATGCGGCAAATCACTTCCAGACTGTGGAATTTCCTTATGCACACTGTAAGATTCAAATCCTGACGGACAGGTGTTTGTGTAAAGCTCTAGTGCTTTGTGTGCAAATAGACTTGTGTTTATTCGCAGACTTGTAGCCGGTAAAAACACGTGTGTGTGACTGATTGCATCAACGTGCAGTTTGAAGTTTTGGAGAGCTTTTCCTGCCAGCTCCGCTGACGCATAGCTCCCACCAGAGAAGCAGCATGGGTGGCAATACGTGACGCAGCGGCTCAGGGCTTGGCATGTACTGCATGTGGAGACACTGAGGTGGCCTCAACGGATCACATGGATGTCAGGGAGATGACAACACAAGCCCAGCATTCCCAGTCACCTGAGTCTTTGAAATATTGTCACTATGCAGAATTTTGATGAGTTTGTGCCGACTAAAGAAAGGTCAAACAAAACACATAAAAGGCAAAAATTAAGATTTTAACAACTTCCTTGAGATTAGAAAAACAGAGACCAGTTCTCTTAAACTGAAAAAAAGAAAAAGAAAAACTTGTGTGAATGTTTCCGCACATCCGCATTGTACATTTTTAACCAGCGCAGACTTCTTTTAGACAGCAGGACACTGCAATTTCCTAATGTGTGACCGCAAACCTGGTCATGTGACAGCAGTGGAAGCAGTTATATCCGGTTGTCTGCGAGTGTGTCTCCACAGCGCTGCAGCGCAACGCACACACAGACTGCACTAAGAGCGTAAACAACAAAGATGACCCTTGTAAGCTTCCCATTTACGCTCATTTCCTCTTCTACTTTTATTCAGCCGTACTTTCCACACAGCGGCTTTTCTTAAGCGCTGACACCATGTGAAAGTGAAATTGACAGCTGGACAATTTTTTCATCTTGAAACAGTTCACGTAAACACAGTTAAGGGAAGGCACCGTGGTTACAGATATATACACTCAGTGGAAAACGAATAAAAAAATGTGCAAAATAAGCGAATAAAGATGCAATGCTGGTTGGATCGGCGAAGATTAAAAAGGTAATTTAGTTATTTAGTGAAGCTCCACAAACTGGAACAGAAGGACGTCAAAAGCAGTACAACACAACTTTGAAAAGGAACACAGATAAAAAACAAAACAAACAAAAAACTGGCCACAAATGCAAGAGTCAGAAAAGAAGTGCTATGACACAAATTACAAACACATTAAATTAGGCCTGTCACAATAAACAATAAATCAATTAATCGCATGATGAATGAAAATTATCAACCTCATTTTCATTTATCGGCTTTATCGTTTCTTTGTGTCTCTCTCTTTCTACTGAAGACACTGAATGACGAAAGGCTCAACTACGGTACTCTTCACTGACTCCCTTGCTCTTTGAAATCCATTTTAACCATCTAAAATCACGTTTTTGGATCGTTAAAAGCAGCTAAGCTGAGAAGCTACAAGCTAAGCTAACAGGCCGACCTGGGGGGGGGGGGGGGGGCCTCTGTCTTGTTGAAGCTACAAAATTCACGGTTGAAACCTGTGCCGTCGTGTAAAAAGTTGTTTTTCTCTGCAAAAAGAAACGAAGAACTTGTTTACTGATTTTTTTTATTTTTTATTAAAAGCTTCGTGTGAAAAATGCTATGCTAAAGAGCTCAAACCACACCAAGTGTCCGTCATTTTGAGAACCAAGGAGAGGCAGCCCATGTCATGTCAAGGGTCCTCCCTCCCATTTTTCTTAAAGAGACACGCTGCTCGCTCCCTCACTATCCATCCTTCGGTTCAAACTCTAATACTGCCATCCAGTGGTCAAAAAAGGTATTTCAACATTTATTCTTAAATTTGACAATAATTACTAATTATTGTCCAATTTAAAACAATATCATTGTTTATTGCAATAATTTGAGATAATCGCCCAGCAACATTTGTTATCATGACAGGCTTTGACAGCTTCTTTAAATTTTCACACAACTTCACATCAATGTTTTGCAAGGTAAACCTGAAATACTTCCTGTATGGTGAGCAAAACAACACAAACAGCTGACAAAGGACAATGGGCCTCATAATATGCAACAGAGCCTTCTGCTTTAAAGTCAGATTATCATCACTGTGTTCCAGTAAACTAAACCCTATTTGATGTCAAAATGTTCTCCAAAACAGGAAAATGGCCCACAGACTGACCACAACCTAGATAAGATAAAACCTACACCAAGTGTCGATCACGGCATGCACACACATTTAGAAAACCCTCCTTGTTGTTCTGTGTCACAGAATCAAAGTTTTTCTTACAAACAAACAAAAAAAGTTTGACTGTAGACATGTGGCTCAACTCAACTAAATTAGAGGAAGGACAGAAGTATAAAAAGACTGATCTGACACAAGTTGAGCGATGAGAGAACTGGAGGGGATGAAAAAGCTTTGTGCGAAGAGCTGTGCCGAATGGAGTGCTAGTGAGACAGATCACTACATATGTTCCCTAAATATGTAGGGCTGCAAGTGGAAGGGAGTGTGTGAGAGCAGAAGTCAAGTGTGTATGAGCCATGCGCATGGTGTGTGTGCATGGGAGGAGCTGTCAGGGCCTGATAGAGTGTCTTTACATGACAAGCAGCTGCTGAGGGCTGGGATGCATGCTGGGCAAAGTGGAAAATAATGAACAGAAAACCGCTGCCAAACACAACAGAATTCATCTTTATTTGCCAGCTGCTGTGTGGCCTTGTATGTGGACAGTTCTCGCATGCAACTGCCACGCCCTTTATACCCTAAACACAAAACATACAAAGTGCCGTGGGAAAGAACAGGTTTGGTCACAGCTGTACAAAGTGGAGCATCGTCCCGTCTGCTCGTGTTTGCGTGCACCAAATCACGAGAGAGGTACGTTCATGCAAAACGGTTCTCCAGAGCCG